GGGCTGCGAAGTTGACTGGAGCTGGAACATTCCATGTTTTCTGAACGAAACATGCTCTAGCACTCGAACTAACACAAGAGTTATGTTTGGAACAAAACCAAAATTTGACACATGTAGCATGAGACCACGTAGCCCCTCCACCGCTCTTTCCGTCTTTGTCGAGACCGTGATTCAGGGAGAGAGAACCTTACATTGGCAAACTGTCGCTACGAACTCACCCTGGAATTCCTCACTGAATTAAACCCCGCATGTGTGCTCTCAGTCTTCCAAATTACAGTTCGTGTATAGGCAAAAATATTTCAAGGTTCCGGGGACTCACTGGAAGCAAAACCCAGAGTCGGATCTGAAATGATAAAAGAGGGCTGTGACATCGCATCATCAACTAAATCATGTATATGCAGTGCATGAAACATCTTATGTTTGCTGCGTGAGAATATCTCATGTGCCTGGCACAAAACATACTATGTCCAGTGCATAAAACATTTCATGTGCGTTGCACGAAATTTTTAATCTTTACTGCATAAACCATTTCATCTTCGATGAACCCTCCAGTTGCTAAACATTCAGCTCTGCTAGCTAAATTATCCATTAGCTTCTAACCTTCGCCGAGCGTTTTCTACCCACATATAAATGCTCATAACTGGTTATTAAGTCCTACGTCACAGTTGGCTGAGAAAAAAAGTCTTTCCGAGGCCGCAGCAATTGGAAGCGGCTTATAGGTCACTTCAGTAAGTAGCAAAGCTAGACCCTTAGTAACCTCGGTTTCACCCAACATGGAAACAATTCATGTTCATTGCGCAATCCACGATGTGTTTTGCTGCGTGGAAACGTTTCAGCTTCTTTGCGCAAATTCGCAGCAAACAAACCTTCCAGGTTCGTTACGCGTTCGTGGCGTGAAACATTTTCTGTTTATTACATGGAAACATTTCATGTTTCTTGCACGAAACATTTTGTGTGTAATGCATAAAAACATGTCATGTTCGTTGCACGAAACATTTAGTTTGCTGCACATAGAAACATTTCATGTTCGTTGCAGCATACATGTCGTTCGTGTTCGCTGCACAGAAACCTCTCCTCTTCGTTGCGCCAAACATCTCCAGTTTGCCACGCGGAACTACTAAGCACGAATGTCCCGGGAGCATCTTGCGCAAAGGATGTGCATGATTTCAGCAAATGTCCCTCTACATGTGCAAGACGCCAGCGTGAGTTCACAAATGCAAGGGAACATGTGACATTACATGTGCAAGGCGCCAGCAAAAGCTCACACGTGCCAGCTAGCATGCGTCCTTACATGTGCAAGTCACCGTACAAATTAACATGTGACATGTGACTCTACATGTGCAAGTCACCGGTGTCTGTTCACATTTGAGGTTAAGAAGTGCAAGTTAACAAGTGCAAGGCACCTACTGATCTTACCAACAGCATTTTACAGAAGAACCCTTCGCAGACACTCCCGAGAATAAAATGTTCCTGGCATGAAACATGTTCTGTTTTCTGCGTGGAAACAGTTCATGTTCCTTGCGCGAAACATTTCGTGTGTAATGCAAACAACATGTCATGTTCGTTGCACGAAACGTTCTGTGTTGGCCGCACATAGAAACACTTATGTTCCTTGCAGCAAAAAAAATCATGTGTGTTCGCTGCACAGACACCTCTCCTCTTCGTTGCGCCAAAAATCTCCAGTTCGCCGCGTGGAAATATAGAATGCTCGTTGAACGAAACACTTTGTGTTTGCTGCATATAGGAACATTTCCTGTTCATCGCGCGAAACATTTTGTGTGTCTTGCATAAGAAAACATTTCACGTTCGTTGCATGTTCGCCTGTGGTTAGTTGCTTTTTGTTTGCCGCTTGGGTGATTTCTGATTTCTTTGGATTTGTGTCGTTTTTTTGCGAGGCTCTGAACATGAGAGCTGCGAAACCGAAGCATGTAAAGAAGTGGCGGTCATGTTTCGACATGTTACGAGAATGTTACACTTTGCTTGTCATGGGTCTGGTGGAAGTTTCAATTGGCCCCACGCGCTACCCCCGTTGTGTTTCTGAAGTTTTCCCAGGCTTGCATTGTTTCAACCAGTTCTGCCGCTTCGGACAATAGCATGGAAAAGTGGTGTTCGTTTTGGAACCAGACGCGTGCAACTTAAGCCTTTTCCAACAACAAAGCAGCAAAGAAATGGCTGTGGGGAATGGGTTCATACATAGCGCGTTTCCGCGCGAGGAAACAGGAAAAAGAAATGCGGAGCCAACGGAGCTGCTAGTAACAAGGTCGGCGCAAGGCATTTTTGCAAGCAACCCTACCTACAGGCGGAAATAAAAAAAACTACGCACGTTGTACGGCACATTTGGTATAGCTTGGGCACCTACTTGTCGCAGACTTGACAACTTGTGGTCACGGTTTTTGGCACACAATACCCATTTTTAGCATGTCGTGAGTCGTGGACTGTCTGTTTGCGCAAACGTTCCTCGCCAGCCGCCTTTCCGCATCTTACGCCGGCAGAACGGGAGGTGGCGTCTGGTTCGGTTTGTGTAGTAAGAGTGCGCGGTGTGCACAATGCATTTGATTTGACTTCCCTGCTTTGCCGCTGGCTCAAGCTATACATTGGGAATTGTTTGATGGGGGGCGTCCTTGCTGACAGGCACATGTTCACATTCAACCACAGGACGCTTTGCACGACCGGTTTAAGAATAAATGTGGTTGCGTGCGAAAATTGAATTTCTTGCCCCGTTGCTTCAACAATTTTGGCATGCAGGCGCACCTGAAAAATATCTCGAATGACGTAACGACGATGATTTGATGATCTATCAGACCATGTGGAGAACCACGCGCGTAGAAATCGACGATCAAGGGCTTCGTAAATCTCATCACTCACAAAAAACACATCGCCAAGCCTTGAATCGAGGCAACGACAACTCCGTAGCAAGCATGCCATGAATTCGACCACGCCGTCGTCAGATAAGAAAAAGTATCGGCAAACCGGTCATTAAAGAAACAAATGTGGTGGCGATCCGCCAAACCATGTTTGCCAAAATAACTAGATGAAGAAAACCAAGGTAGGAAGAGAGGAAGAGAACAAAATGGCGAAGATGACAAGGTGAAGAAAACAAGGCCGAGTAGGTGGCTATTTCAAGCAAAATGCAACTGGAACTGGAACGTTTAATGAATTTGAACTTGTAGTGCTCACCCTTTGTCTTTCTGGCAAGGTTTTTTTCTGAATCTGTTCTGAATCTGAAGCATTGACAAACAGCTGCTTGAAAGAAAGCACGACCACAAAACAGTGCACCGTTTTTGGACTTACTAAATGGAAGACCTAGCAAAGTAAGAAAACAAATAAAGGTTAAAGGTTAAACAGCAAATGAGTGAGGTTCTATTGGGAAGGGATCCTCACACCTTCAAGTCATGTCACAGTTCAGACTGGTGAAACCAACATCCAACACCAAACCGGTCTCCTGGTCTCCTCGGGACATTTAGGGGCCTAACAAGTCTCAAAGATTGATGACCTGTGAAGTCGGGTGCTGCTAGTCTTGGATTTGCTTACTAAGGACTTACTAAGGACCGGAGAAAAAGCAGAACAAGAGTATTCTCCAGAAGAGGATTCACTGAAAAAGGCAAAAACCACCAAAATCACCTACTCCGCAAAACGAGGTGGTGGGGTGTCAGCCACCCTCAGGAACCCTCCTCGCCACAGAGTCCATCCAACCCACCCAGGTCTGTTTTCCGCGCGACGGAGTACACGATCATACACGTTCACGTGCTTGGCCCCAGAAACCGTGGTCTGTTTTTAGTTGCCTACACAGTGCCTGTATAATCCTGTATAGCACTCAGAACGCAGAATAGAACATGAACGATGAATTTTCTGCAAACATGTGTTGGAAGTCGTGCTGTTTTCTATGTTTCTATGTCAATCAAGTGACAAGATTGACAACCAGGGGTCACAAACGGGTGGTGTTTGGTCCCTAAGTGAGTGGATAATGGGCACCCCGACTTCCTCCAATAGGCACTAGCCTCCAAGTTCGCCACCCCTTTGTGACTCCTGGAACACCGTCATTTCTGTTGGTTCCGTTGGGAATTCCCACAGTTTTGGGGGACGGCCATGTGTTCTTCTGTCTCTTTGCGAGGTCAGAATCAACCGGTCTTGTCACCACTTGTCTCGCAGCAAGCGAGAAAAAAACCATAGACGAACATGATGGGGAGAAGACAATGACACCAAATGACACCAACAAACATGTATACCAGCGCCATGGATTTGGGGTGTCAATTTATAGTCCCGAAAAGAGGTCCTTCGGGGTGTCCATGTCTGCCACCCCGACGTCCTGGCTCAATATTGACAAGCCCATTAGCTTGGGCTCACAAACAAACTAAATGAACACACACTCAAAATCCACTGGTTAGGGAATCTCACGGATCGAAAAGACCTCTTTTTCCAGGAGTCACAGAGCTCGCTCTGGGTGCCGGAGGAAAGGAGGAAAGGAGGAGGTCGGTGGATGGGACGAAGCAAACCACTTACCGACCTCCATGTGACGAAGAAGGTTGAAAGCTAACTTCCCTAACCCACACACGACCCATGGGACTGCCGTTTTTCGGACTGCCGCCGACAGACCCCCAGTCAACCACCCGAACTCGCGGCCGTGAAACTCGGCAGTCCAAACTGGCAGTCCCAAACAGGTCGTGTCTGGGTACACTCTGACTCACTAACATGGAAGTGGAAAATGGTCTCTTGGAAGACTACTTTCCTCTACAAACAGTGGGTTTTCCACTTCCATGTTAGTGAGTCGGAGTGTAAGGATCCTCCTGAAGTGACTTCATGGGCTTTGCTTCCTTTCCCCCAAACCCTTATAGTGTCTGGAGGGCTCGATCCGCCATGGAGGGTCCGGACGACCGGATCCTTCGGGTTGTGACACTTCGCCGAAGTTCCGCCCAAACGTGCTTCAGCCGAAACCGGGGCCGATCCGGCAAAAACGGGGAGACCGTCGACCATCGGTCGTCTGCCATGGGCTGCCATGGCGCTGGAGTTCCAGTGGATCAAAAAGACGATGCTGTCGCCGACGCCCATACTTCGGTCTTCCAGCACCTCTGAAGAGCCAACGTCGCCAACGACACGCGTCGCGTTGTTCGAAACCTCCCCAGACGCGACCCCTACACAGCTCTTTCCTGGTCCCGAACCAAACCCTAGGGATTGGTTCGGGTCCCCTCCTTAGGAGGGTACGGCCCCTACTTAGCAGGGTCCAGGGTCGCGTCTGGGCTCTTCCTTTTCTTCTTTCGGCGGGTCATCGGTTCCTAGACCGGGCGCGTCCCCGTTATGCCTTTGGGGAAGTCCAAATGGATGGTGTGAGACACACGTCGAAACTGAGGGGAAGGCCCTCAGTTAGAGTGTTGAAGCAAGATTGGTTGATTTATCATCTGTATACCAGCACCCTGTGGGACAGGTCACCTCTCTAATTCATGAGAGGTTCTGTTGGTGACCGTCCCAACAAATCGCAAACCGTTGGTGACCTGTTTCAGTCATCGGGTGCAGGTCGCACTGAAGTCCCAAGTCCAATCGACCTTGGAGCCCCAAGGATCAGATCTGGCCCGACAGCCCCCTGAGGCCCGATGTCGTCTGGCCAGGATGAAGCCTCTGTCTCCCTCTCTCTCTCTCACTCTCACTCTCTCCCTCAGAGCCTCTCTGTGTCTCTCTCTCTCTCTCTGTTTCAGAGCCTCTGGATTCTTGGGGGGGTCTAGGGCCAAGTTTGTGAAGCCCAGTTGGGGCCTTCCCAGTGCGACCAACTGTTGACTTCTGGGAAGTCGCCTTTGTCTGCTGCCGACATGGCTCGCGAAAAGGACGATTCTTGCTGAAAAGGTTCTGGCTCTGGGTGCACATGCGTAGCTGGATTCGATGATGTTGTGAGGATGTTCTTCTTATTGGAAAACGATCGTTCCAAAGGCAAGCACACTCATCTTCTCTTCGGTCAGGCCACACCCGAACTGGGTGGTGCTGGTCTATGATTGCTTTCTATACAACCAACATCAACCAATATCAACAATCCCTAGGGCTCCTGGCCCATCTCCTCAGGTTCGGTGCTTAGACCCCCCAAATCCACCCCAACCATCTTCTCAGGAGACGGGCCAGGAGCCCGAACAGGAAGAACCACAGGACCTTCCCTGTCGATTGGATCCACCCCACCTGGACCGTCGAACCATCCAAGACCGGCTTCGCGGCGTGGAGTCCCTGATCCCCAGGGGCGGAACGGTCGGATCGACCGGAGGGGGGGGGCCCGTGGGCCCCGTGGGCACGGCCCCGTGGGGGGTCGGTTGGCCTCGGTTGGCCTCGCTTTGGCCTCGGGATGCCTCGGGGAAGGTGGGCGACTCGAAATCACGAGGTGTTTTGGGGCGCTCCTCCTGTCCTTCCACTCTTAGAGTGGACGAGTGGATGGGGAGTGACTCGGAGTGACTGGGGAGTGATCCGCTGAGAAAGCACGACACCGGTCCAATGAATCCAACCGTTTTGGCAGTAAGAAAGCACGACTGAGATCCTGTTGAGACCACTAGTTGAGGGTTGGGAGTGATCTGCAGATCTATAGTGACCATTCAGGTGGATCGATGATCCATATGACTGACATATGAGCAAAGCATCCCCTACCGGCAGGCTACACTCCCTTCCGCCGTGGCACTGACTTATGAGCATAAACTTCCTGGCCACACATCTGGTACACCTATCGGCTCGCGCAGTGGGTTGGAGGAGGAAGACCATCGGCTGATGGGATTTGGCAACAGCGCAGTGGGTTGGAAACTTCTTGAGAAGAGGACGAGATGTTCGGCAAACGGGAGGATTTGGGAAAAATGCCAAGAATGGGGAATCCGAGAAGGTTGGCTTTGGCCACCTCTTCAACTTGAGGCACATCTTTCCTACAGTGTTTTTTCTTTTTTCGGAGGTTCCCTGAGTTCCACAGACCCGAGTCGACCTGCTCTGAAAGAGGAATCGGATGCGATGTGGTATCCTCAGCTTGGGAGTAGATCAAGAAGACGCTCCGAGAGGACATGAGAAACCCTCCAAGTGGAAGACGTTATTCAACATGGGAATGACCTGGTTTTGTAGTGTCAAATCCATAAAATGTTGGTAGTTCGGGAAAGACTGCTAAATCAATGATAAGCCAGGAAGGTCTCCATAAGAAAACCGGAATATGTTGGCCGTCTGGACCGATTCGTAAACCATCTCAAACATGGATTGAACCACCTCTTCATGTGGGGGTATTAGACTCTTCAAGAGTCTACAATTGGTATGGTTAGTTCCAACACATGGTCCTCCGACTCGAGTCAGAGATCCCGTTGCGAACCGCACACCAACGACGCCAGTGACCTGGTGACCACCAGGTGCTTCACCGCAGCGAACCAGTCACGGAGGCTTGACACGAGGAAGCCGCTCTGGGTGTCCGCTCTCCAGACGTCCGAGCCGAGACCATCGGCTTTTTGGCTTCGCGATGCACGTGTCTGTTCAATGAACCAGGACCAAAGATTTGGGGGGGCCAATTGCTGGTAAGGCTGCAAATCCTCAACCACCACCCCCTCCAAACCGTCCAAATCACCCTCCCCAGCCCCGCGATCGTCTTCAGCAGTTGGCGTGCGTCTTGCTTGGGGAGCCGCCAGGATTTACTTGGATGATCTTGGATGTGCTGTCCAGGAATGAACGGGGATCGACCCAGAAATAGAGAACCAGCTTCTTCAAAGTGGATCTCTTTGGAGTTCCACCCAGTGACCTGAGTGACCTGATCCACAGACCCCAGTGACCTGATCAGAAGATCATATCAAGTTCGGTCACTAATGGTCAAACCACACAAACGCTCATGGTCGAACCAATCTCCTAGGTTTTGAGGGACCAGGAAAGAGCTGTTTTCACGGAGCGTGGCAGGAAAAAGATGTTCCTGCTCCGCCAAACCAGGTGTTCCATATCTACTTCACCCTCCATTGACCTGTCCACCCGGTGCCCCCACCCCAAACGACCCCTGTCCGCCCCCCGGCCTCTTTGCAGGCGATCGAGCCAGCGGAACGATCCTGGTCGTACTTCCTCAACTGTCCAACAAAGTAGGGCTCCTCAGTTTTTTCCGAAATCCGTGTGCGTGGGTGATGTGGACATATGTGGACGTCCAAAGGCCGAAAAACACCCACATCTCCCAAGAAATGGTGCGAAGAAAAGTATGTGAAGGCATGGTGCTGAAACTGAAGACATCTGGAGCTGAAGACATCTAGGTCACTGCTTGGAGGGTCACAGTCGTCACTGCTTGGAGATCCGTCACTGCCAGAATTTCCCCTGGTCTGAGCTCCACTGAAGAGCCCTCCAAGTCAATGTCCGCATGCCGACATGGCATCCCTTTGCAGACATGAACTCCAAGAAAATACTCAAAACAGTCATCGACTCCCAAGGACCCTGCGGACCCTGCTTTCAGAGGAAAGAACTTTGAGCACCGGGAAAACCCACTGGTCGAAAGACCGATCTTGATGACCTCCCGGCCCGAAAACTCGACCCCGCCTGGTCGAAAAATGAACAAAACGGCCCGTTCGTAGCGTCCGAATGCTCCTATAGTAGTAAGGCCACCGCGCATGAGTTACTTGGACGCAAGTCCACAACCGGACTCGTGGGTCACTGGTCGGTCTGTACACTCAGGTCCAAATTGGCTAGCTACCAGGACCCTCCAAGGGCTGTCCAATGGACTACCCCACACTACCTAAGGCTTCCATTGGGCACCCCTTAGAGGGTCCTGGTACAGTGATGGTATTCTTAACTGGTCATCCATCCCGTGAGCTGGGAAACAATAGAAAGACATGGTCGTATCTGACCTCATTAAACCCGAACTTTGCCCGGGGCACACCGGCAGCGATGCGCGCGGAGATCGACATCTTGCCCTTGCCTGGACAGCCCGACAAACTTTGGTCTAAAAGGGCCACAAACAGAATGACAGCGAACGCAACACCATGGTTGTATGTGTTGAATTCTATGGTTGTATGTTGAGCAGTTCAATGAACTGCTACAAGAATATTCAAGTCCATTCTATGGTTGCTGGTTTATATAATTGGTTCAATTCAATTAAAGCAACTTACGTGTCTATCCAGCCATGCTCAAACAAGTTATGTGGCTCTTTCAGCTTGGCTAACCTCTTGAAAAATCCAAATGACCAGAATCCAGTCAGGGTGGTAGACATGGACACTCCTTGAGCTCTTTTTGGGACTACTAATGGACACCCGGGTCCTCCGTGGTGCTGGATCATTTCAGAGGTTCGATGACACAAACCGATGGTCTATGATGGTCTACCCAAACCCGACCAGCCCCGAATCCTCGGGTTAGGGGTCGGACCCAAATCCGAACTGGTCAGGGGTCTGGGGTCGAACCAAACCGGTTTGGTTCGGGACCAGGAGTCGAGCTGTTTTCACGGAGCGTCTGGGTAGAAGAACTTGGAGGGTCTACTCTCCATCTACTCTCCATCCACTTCTTCAGTCACCCAAACGAGTTCAGACTTCGTGGGGGCCGTTGCGGCCGTTGCGAACCACTCCAACGCCCCGCTGCGGATCGCTTGGCCGTCCGAAAGGTGTCCGTCCCACGTGTCGCGGGCGGGCTGCGGATCGGGTCGGGTCAGAGCCGGGCCAAACGGGCCAGCGAACTGGGTTAGTCAAATGAGATCTCTTTGGGTTTTGAAACTATTACACCAATGGTTGGTCCGAAGAGCCTGCTGGCATGAGATCTCTTTGGGTTGGTCAAATGGGGGCCCCGACTTGTATGGGTTTTTGCGACTGGTGCCAGGGCGACCAGGACTGCTCCCCAGATTTCGTGAGAGGGTCTGGACTGCATCTATTACCCCAATCAATGGGTATGTTGGGCCTTTAAAGTCTAGTACCTGCCACGCAGGTGGTGGCTAGTGTCAGCTATGCGTACACCCAATCGGTAGACGGGTCTATTTCCCGATTTCCCGAAACCAGGAGGGTCGTTGCCTGGAAGGTCTCTGTATTTCAATACACACCCATGGTTTTTCCTGGCGCTTCCAGTCGGGTGTCAGACCATAGGGTAGGCCATTGAACGCACCCAACAGGAAACAGCTGGTATAGATTTATATATAGCTAGATTTAGCATGATTTAGCCTGTGTCTTTCCAAGTCTCTATATATAAACCAGCACCCTCCTGGCCAGGCTGTTAGTTGAGGGTTGTAGGACCGAAAAAAAATAACTTAAAAAAAAAGGTCGAACCATTGGTGACCTGTCGGATCCTGTCGTCCGGTCCTGGAAATGATTGCCATATCCATTTAGCCCTTGGAAAGGACATTGGGATCCAAAACACCCACACCTGCGCATGGAGCTGCCGCATGACATCGCATGACTGGAGCCGACTTGCACAGGAGGTGGCCCCGATCTCCTTGAAAGTCCCAACAAAAGCTCAATGGAGACTAGACTCTTGATTTAAATAAAAACATATCATATCAAGAGCTTCTTCCATCCAAATGGGGGTTCTTAATCAAGAGTCTACATCACGTTCTCATTTAGCTGGCCTTCCTTCACAATCCTCACGCACCTCGCTCCTCCTGTCACTCCCCTCCTGTCACGCCAAATGCGTCCGGGCCTTTGGCCTTGCCCTTGTCGCCGCCCCAGCCCTTGCCGCTCCAGTCGCCCATACCTGAGGCGGGCCCGGAGGCAGGAGGCATCTGGAGGCCCAGGGGGGTGGTCGAAGACGAGGATCGGATGGAATACGATGGAGAGGATGTCGTTTTGCTTGGGCTTCTCTATCTGCAGTACCCTAGGGATCCAAGTTCCTTGTCAGAAGGTGATTGGAGACTGTTTATGTAGGTGCCAGGAGGCTCCAGTCGTACCTTCTGAGAACGTATGACTGGATCTCAAGGGATCCAAAAAGAGTACCTTGAATTCATTGCTCATGTCCTCATTGTTCATATGAAAAAGGCTTCGGGGAAATGGTCAGGATCAATTGGGGTTGAATCTTATCTCTGTCTGGGATGTACAAATGAGCTCAGTACGCTTGGTGCATCTTTGCAACGCAGCATTGCAAGGCAAGGCGGTGTATGAGAATGGAACATCGGTCGCCGGTGTAATTCGTGGAACCTTACATTACACTATTTGGTGGAACTACACTAATACCATCACACCCTTACACTGCCATGACTTTTGCACTCCCTCAAACAACCATGGAAGTGGAACGTAGCCCGGGGCAACAAAACCTAAAAATCCGCGCGCCCCAGCGATCTAAGCACAGCTGCTTAAAACCCCTACCGTAAGAACCCCTTAGTGTGTCCACACTGCGTCCATTGAATCGGGTTCCATGTGCTCCGTTTGCGGGAGGTTTTCAAACCCTTCCAGGTAGATCCAGGTAGACCCCGATTAGTCTCTGGGAACGCCGAACGGGGAACCGCCCCGCCAGGTACCACATCACCGAGTTCCGTCAGGGGGGGCTTAGGTTCTTTTTCTCTCCCTCTATGACTCTAATCAACCAACCATCCACATCAGTGTATCAAAATCCATCAATCATCAACCAATAATATCCTGGACCCCCAAGGGGTGGTTGATGGACACCCCTTGACCTCTAAGGGGCTATTAATGGACACTCTTTCCGTGGTGCTGGATTGTACACCGTTATATCATCAAATCTCAATCGACCACTATCAGTCCCAGACACGACCTGTTTGGGACTGCCGTTTTTCGGACTGCCGAGTTTCACGGCCGCTGGGGTGGTTGTCTTGGGCGGCAGTCCGAACTGGCAGTCCCATGGAGCGTACGGGAACTGATCGACCAATAGAAACGTGTGTATTCCAGACACGACGCGTCTGGGACTACCATAGGACTGCCGCCCCAGACACACCCCCCAGTCAACCACCCAAGCGGCCGTGAAACTCGGCAGTCCGAAAAACGGCAGTCCCAAACAGGTCGTGTCTGGCATTCGTCGTGTCTGGGTATGAAAAAATAGACCCGGACCCGACCAACAGGTCTCCGATGGCTTGGGAAAAGCCCTTGCTCAGCTTTCAGGTGACCTGGCAGAGTCGGTGCTGGGAAAGACCGACCGCCGACAGCGGGGCCCTCGGGGTGGGTTCGGTGTTGCGGTGTCGCCAGCGGGGCCGAGGTTTCGGGGGGTCTCTCTAAAGCTATAACCACCCCATCAGGTGGCTGTGGGTCGTGGCAGGCGACCCTTTTCTTGGTCAAGCTCCACAGAAAACGGACCAAGAGAATAGACCTCTTAGGCATGATCAAGGCGGGATGAGGTCTTCGGGCTTGAACGGACCATGTAGACTCTGGATGAAACCTAAGCCTGGATGATGCCAACTCTCGTCGCTTTGGTCGATCGGCTGGCGGTCCTCCGCGCGAGCCCTCGGTCAGGACCCGAGGTTTAGCCTATCCCAGTTCGGTACCCCAGGTGACGGTCCTATTTACGGTCACTGTCCACCTTTTTTGGAGGGTTCAGGGTTTCAGTAGTAAGGTGCCGTACGTGACGTTCGTATAGCTTCTTGCTACGTGCGTAGCGATGGTCTCCAACCTAATAGCGATGGCCTCCACCGTGCGTAGCGTCCTTGTTCCTACCATAGGGTTTTAGGGTTTAAGGTTTAGCAAGGACGAAACTAGGGGAGGGCATCCCTATTAGGTTGGAGGCCATCGCTACGAACGCAGCAAGAAGCTACTACCAGCAGTCACAAAGGGATGCTATCCATGGAGATTAGGGGTGCCCATTATCCACTCACTTAGGGACTAAACACCACCCCTTTGTGACTCCTGGTAGTAGTCGTCCTTTCTTCCGGTTTAGGGGGGGTTTGAAATAACAGCTCGCCCAGTTGCCTCCCCAGTTGCCGCCCATCATGTCCTCGGTTGTTGGTGGTCGGGCCATCGTGCTTTGGGATTGAAAGCAAAAACCATGCCCCTCATGCTATGAGCACACCATACTTGTTGGCATGTTCATCATTTTTTTGCACACCTGTCCTACCATGAGTTGAACTGTGGACAAATAATGACCGGAAGTCCTCACTCAGCTGGCATGTTCATTCATCCTAGCACCATTCGATTGCTGAGCTGAGTGAGCTGAGGCCGATGATCAGAAATGTCGGGGTCTCCGAACAGGACCACCCAATACTTGTGGGCTTCCATTGGACACCCCGACAGGATGCTCCTGGTCTAAGAAAGTGTTTGAACTCGTCACCCCGAAGCCCGAGGCAGCGTTCTCTCCTCTCCCTCTCTCCCCCCGCAGTGAGGTTGCACCCGGTCAGACCTCAAAAAAACGCTTCGAAGGCACCCAAAGAACTGGCATTTCAATCTACAAATATCTCTCCAACCCTCAACAAGGCGCATGAAAAAAAGTTTGCCAACCATCCCTCAAAGAGATATCATGGTGTTCACAGCCCCAATACGAAATCAGCATCCGCGTAGAAATCTGTCAAGAAGAGAAACGCTAGCTGAGCAGCTGTTTAGCCTCAAATCTGTGAATATGCAGCTGAGTGAAAACTAAAGTTCTCGTGCTTCTCTCTTCACCAGCTTTTCTGCCGCAAAAACCAGCACCGGTTTTCCAGTGGCTGCCACTGGCAGGCCCACACTGGGAAAGAAGAAAAAACGACACCCGCCGTTCATACCGAAAAGTGGCGTTCCAGTTTGGCAGATTTGGTGAACGGAGAAACTTCATCAACTGACCAAAGCAACTGACTCCATCAGGCGGCGACGGGGGCAGAAAAATGATTGTTTCGCACGCTGCTTTCAAGGCTCAAAGGAAACCTAGGAAACCTTCAATCTTCGATCTTCGGTTCGCGCACTGGGTCACACAAACACCACGACAATATCCATTGCGTCACTCCCATGACCAGGTAATGTAGACTCTTGATGAATTCACCCCCCATATGAAAAGCAGGTCCAAGTCATAAATGGGGTGGTTAGAAAAATCAAGAGTCTACAGTGCACTGACCGTGTCCACCATCCCTCGAAGAAGCGCGGAAGATCGGGAGATCTTCCGTGACGCCCGGCCGTCAGCCAATTCCCGAAGCCTCTCCCGAACTCGGCGGATCCTGGGTTCGGGTCACCCCAACCGACCGAGGTCAGGGTCGGTTGAAGACTCTGAGGTCCAGAAAGGGCTGTCTGACGGCTTTCCACGGTTTGTTCACGGTTGTTCACTCACCATGTCACCTGAGCTACGACCAAAACCATGGTAGATAATCCCTTCTGGTCACCATATCTCTTTGGGAGGTTTTAGGTCGAGTCCTCACATGCAACCTGCCAGCATCCCGGCTTCCGGACGCTTCGCCGCAGAAAAAGAAGATCGCTGCCAGGGCTCTCCTTTACCCATCATCCCTTTCCCCATGGGGCCTTTGCCCATTGGGCCCTTGCCCATGCCTTTGCCCGTGCCTCAGATGACGAGCTTCCGGCTTCGAACCGCTTACTTAGCTCCACGGTCCACCTTTGACCCATCGAAGCCTGGTCCCAGAACAGGTTCATGTGCTGCAAAAATGCATGAAAAACAAAGGTTTTCACATACGGTATCGTTTTTTTTAATATACGATTTTTGAAAGTGGTCCGGTCTTAGTGTCTCGGTGGTCTTGGTGGTGATTGCGGCGGTCTAGGCGGTGTTGGTGGTGC